GGTTTTTAAATAAACTGATGGAAAATAATGGGAATTTCAGGCCCTGGAACCCATTATTCCCGCATGCCAAATCTGATGCTGCTTAGTGCGACAAAGACCCTGAAGTTAATGAAATTCCTGCCTGCACAAACTTTTATCATGCTGTTCAGTAAAACAACTTGTGCATCAAAAAGCACCATCACTCAAGCTGTTAAAATGCATTCCGTGGAAAGGGAGGCAAAGGAGCAGGAGGAATAGATTTGTTAAATGACAGATAAGCAGTGCTATATATTTAATATGTGCCTATATTAGGTTACCGGAGGTTGTTGAGTTTAAAGCATGAGGGTGAACTGATCAACTGCTGTGCCGGGAATTGGAGTCTCCTGTTTGAATGGGAGTCTGACGAATGCTAACTGATTTCCAAGTAAGATACCCATCCATCACCCACCACGCCTGGAAAAGCTCCATTTGCTGTACAAACATGTTCCATTGATAGCCGAATGCAGAAATAACTGAATCTTTACAAAGCCCCCAAAGGAACTTGCTTTCTTTCAGAGCACATTTCAGATGGCAGCATCCACCTAGTTCCCAACATTCCCTATAATCTTGTTCGATGAAAAGTCTACTTTGAGGAAGAGAAGCTTTCCAGAGAACAACCCTCCCAGCCGGCCCTAATTAAGTTCTGCTTTGTCCTGATGAAGCACGAAGCACATTTCTAGAGCTGGGTTTCCAAACCCTCTGCGTCGGCTCCAGCTTCTCTCCAAGTGCTTGGAAAACGCCCTTGGAGGGCTGGTGAGCACTGATTGCTTTTGGAAACCCTCATAGGGGATAGATGCTGCTTCCTGACAGTGTGCCCTGCTCTGTCCCAGGGGACAGGTGGGACCAACCTCTCCTATCCTCTCCTGTTGGATAGGAGTTAAAAGCCTGGACATGTGGATCTTGAGATCAATTTATTCCAGCTCCCACCCCTCCTTCAAGTATTTTTTAAGGAATTTAGCTGGAATTTACTTCCAAGGTCACTTGCGCGCAGTGCCTGTGAGTAATCCTACCCCGGCTGGCTGGGAATGCTGGTGTCATTTATCATTTTCCCCTCTCTTATTTATAGAGCTGATTACACAAGTGCGTCCAGCACCAAGGGCTCCCTCCAAGTCCACGAGGCTGTGCCAGTTTCCCCGCACAGAGAGGGTGAGGGAGGTGACATCATCTCCACAAGGCCCCGTTGATGTAAGGAGCCATCTCCTGCAGGGAGAAGGCACGGCAGGAGGCGGGCAGTATCCAGCATCACCTGGTTGTAAGCACATGCCTGACCCCTTAATGAAGCGCACGGATTTACACCCATGCCCATAGAATCATAGAATAGTTAGGGCTGGAAAGGACCTTAAGATCACCAAGTTCCAACCCCCCTGCCATGTGCTTTATGAACAGAGGTGTGCTCATGCAAGCCTGGATCTGGGCTCAGAGGTGATGTAAAGGCACTTGCTGCATGGGTAAGATAGAGGTGAGGGTGCCCGGAAGGCTGTGAAATGGCTGTTTCTGGGGAAGAAAGCCATTTTTCCTGGAGAATGCTGGTCTGTGTTGAGCAAAAAGCCACAGAAAGTGTTTTGGACTGAAGGTTTAAGGGGGGTTTCTTGGAAGAAATCACTTTTTCTCCTGCTGCTCCACTGACATAAGCATGAAGGGCTCACAGCATTTCTTCTTCCCATTTAATGTCATTGGAACTGTCACTTCCAAGTCTGTGCCTTGGAATATCCCAGTGCTGTGCTGTCCCGGGTCACTGGGATCTCCAGGCACCCCAGCACTGCCCTGTTACACTTCAAACCTGTCCTGCAGCTCGGAAAATACGAGCTGTTGAGCAGGGGCAGATGGAAAAACACCGCAGGAGGGTGGTCACTTGATGTCTTTAACACCTGCAGAGGCCCCAGCCTGGAGGAAAGAACTCCTTGTGCCGTTCCCGGGCGGATGGAGCATGCCTGGGATCACGGCACCTCCATCTCCAGCACATCATAATTTTGGGGTGGGTGTAAGGTCTTTTTGCCATCTTCTCCATCACCTCTGAAACCACCTAAGGCTGGCACTGAGCAGTCCTCTTGGGGACTGACCTCAAAAAGCAGAGGGAGGCCCCTCAGGTGACGGGAGATCAGAGATCACCAACCCCCATGTGTCCCAAAGGGAAGAATAAAAGCTGGATAAATGCCTCCTTCAGCACTTGTGCAGGAGATGGCTCTCATGGGAGCCAGGGCTGCTCCAATGGGACCAGCGACAGCCCTGATAGAAACCTGAGGGCCAGCTCACCCAGCCCAGGCTCCTCATGCATCAAACCCTCTTTTGCCTCAAACAAGCCCACACATGTGCTTGTTTTCACAGGGGACCTTCAGTGCCTCAGTTGACTCCTCCATAGGGATGGCACAGCTGCACCTTCCTTCACGTTTGCCAGCAAGACTGAAGGTTTGTTAAGTCGTTGAGAGCTCAGCATGCAGGTGAGCACTGCATTAGGTTCAGTCCAATCCTTAGGCTGATTCAGACATGAGTCAGAACCCCCCTCAAAGGAAGGCAAGAAGATGGGTACATGTTTAGGTATCAACAGTTGTTGATGCTGCTTCTCCCTGTTGCTGTGGGCCCCAGTCACATCCAGCCTGCATCAGGCCCCAGGCATGGCAGGAATGCCTCGGCTTGCACCGACCACAAGATGCTTCAACCCTGATGTCAGTCCCTGCTGTGAAGTCAGGGGCTGAGCTCGCTTGCATCAACCAAAGGCGAGGTGGCCAAGTGAAGGAAATCAGTGCCTTGTTCTCCAGCTCTGTAGGTGGGGGGGACTGTGTGCAAAGGAGCACAGTGAGGGTTGACACCAGTCAATGCCCCCGACCCGCTGCCAAGAGCTCGACTGAGGAAAATGTTTGTTTCATCTCAGTTTGAGAACACAAGGGATTTAGTCTCTGTGCCAACACCTCACACCTGAATCCAGCATCTTCTTTAGCAGGGAAGAGGGAGAAAATGAGTCCCATGGTGAGTCCTTCCCAGGGCTGACACACCAGGTCCTTCTGGGGATGGATGGATGGATGGATGGATGGATGGATGGATGGATCATAACCATTTTCTGTGCATCCTCCACTGGTCTTGGCTCTCATTGCAAACGTGGGCACCTCTGTGTAGTGCTCAAGTGCTGGTGAGGAATGCCCTTAGGGATGCAGTGTCCTGAGCATCCCTTAGCACCGCTCCCCCAAGACCTGTCCTGCTCCTTACTGGCACCAATGGACAACATTATCACCTCTTCCTCTAGGTACCACCCGAGTCCTCCGCAAACACTGACACACGTAGGTGTGAAGCCTCACAGAGCACAGCACAAAACTGGAAATACAGCTGCAAAAAAGCGCATGCAAATATACCCCAAAACATCAGCATAAACCTGAAACCTTCCTCCACTCCCAGCATTCTCCTGTAGTTTCCGAGTCTGTCCCCAAGCACTGGCCTACCTGAGCCAACCCCATCCCTGGGTTTCTGTTCCCTGCTTCCCCTTGGCAGTTACTGAACATAAAGAAAGCCTGGAGCCCTTTCCTGCTGTTTCCCCTCTTACCCAGGGCTGTGCCTACCTTGGGAAGGCAAATGGAGCCCCTTATTGTCTGCCTGGTTCTCCCTGGCTATGCAGAGCCCCAGCCCTGGGACAGGCTGCAGCGAAGGAGCTGACTCTGTAGGACTCTGCAATCTGTTATCTCACAAGTGGCTGTTTTGCCTTGCTCCCTTTTGAAAGCAGGGAGCACACGTAGCATTTAACGAACCAGATGTCTGGCTCTGTGCTCGGGCCATTCCGTCCCTGCCCTCCCCATCACACATGGCCTTGGGGTAGCGCTGGGGGTTCACGACCTTGCAGATGCTCTGGGTAAACGTGGTCCAGGGAAGCAGGAGGGAAGGAGGGAGAGAGGGATGGATGCAGGAAAGGGGTCAAAACTCCAGGCCCTCCCTGCCTCACATGTGGTGGCTAAGCATTCATTACCCTATAGGCCTCGGGGGGAAGGGCTCAATCTCACGAGGACTTAGAGGTGAAGCAACCAGGTACCACACTGCATCTGTAAGTGACGGCATGAGTTGCACTCAGGATGTTTCATACCTGCACTGAGAGACATCAGTGTTCAAACACTGGGAGAGCCTCCAGAAAGGGCAGAAAGGAAGGTACTCACAGAGGTGCTGGGGAGCATCAGGCTTGTGGATGAAGCCCTCCTCTGGTTATCTCCCCTGTTCTTCCTTTGCTGTTGAGCTCCATCTCCCATCACAAGCATCTCTGACTGCAGCCATGCAAAGCCCCATCCTCAGGCCTGGTGTCCAGGGCTCCCCATCCTGCCTCTGCTCTGCGCTCCCTGACAGAGGTGCTGGGACAAACCCACTGACCCTTCACATTCCCTGTGGTCCCCCAGGCCCCAGAAGACAGGACCTGGTGTGCCCTGAACAGCATGTTCCTTGGATCTGGGTCATTCCTGGTCTGTCCCAGTCTGTCCCACATTCATGAGGTGGGTGCAGAAAGCGGCCAGCATGGGAAGCAGCTGAGCAGGCGTGTTTCCAGAGCAGTGCAGCTGGGAAAGGTTTATTTTGCTAAGCTGCTACTGTCCCAGGGTTATTAAAGACACACTTGGAGCATTAGTCCCTATTAAGCCATGCTGGTAAAGCACGGGATGGGCCAAGAATCACAGCAAAGCCAGAAAGAAATGCCCTTTTGTGCTTAGTAAGTCTCAAAAAGACACCCCACTGCCCCAAGAGCTGCTTCATCTCAGGCTCATCATTGATCCCAGCACCCCCAGCAGCCCACTGCAGAGGCCATGCCCTGCCGCCTGGATGGCTTGGCCCCATGTTCCCAGCAAGGGGGAGCCCCACAAGCACTGTGCTGGGGATTTCAGTCCCTGGCACCAGCCTGCACTGTCCATGGATTCAAATCATGCATCAGCCTTTAACCAACGTCAGTCAATCCTGGCCGGGATTTGTCCATCAGGAAACAGCATCCCCTCCCTTCCCATCCCCTCCCTCTGCATGACTCACAGCGGTGCTGAGCAGGGCATGATCCACCCTGGGAAACCCCTTCACCAGCTGCAGCATCCCCTGGGACTCTCAGCTGGGACCCCACAGATGCATTGACTGCACTGATGGACCTGCCAAGGAGAGGAACCTGTGCTCATGGGGCTGCCTTACCTGCTGCAGGCAGCGGGAAGCTCCCGACGCTGAGGCCACCACAACCTATGGTCCTGTGGCTGCCGTCACAAGCCTCCTGGGTCATTTGTGATGCACTGCGTTGGGACATGCTGGGCTGGCTCCCCTCTGGCCCAAATCTACAGCTTTGATTCAAAAGCTTATCAGTGCAATGTATTTATAAACCCTGTGCATGGGGCTGCTGCTGCCTTCACCCAGAGCAACTCTTGGTTCTCCTCTCAGCTATGCTTGTACAAACACTTGGGTACCTTATTAACTGTAAGAGATTCAAACCAAAGAGCAGGTATCAGCCCCTGAGTTCAGCAGGAAGCTGCTTCTGATAACCCCTGTATTATGTATGTTCTAATCAGCCTGTTTCCCAGCTCAAGCACCTCCTACAGCCTAACCCAGTGTAACAACAGGAGTAAGTACAACCCTTTATCTCCATGGAACACATGTTTTTAATCCTTATTTCTCAAGTATCCTGAAGTGCATGTGCTCTCCTGCGGCTTTGGAATTAACTGAGGGCTGGACAAAGCACATCCACCACAATTCAGATCCAGAAACAAACAACTGTATGAGGCCAGACACTGCAGGAGCAAATCCTCAGATGATGGATACCTTTGGACCAGGATGGTGATGCAGGCAGACAAGCAGGCACATAATATATACAGAGCCACAAGCTTTTGAGAGCAAGAAAATGAGTGCTGGGCAACATAATGTATGTTAGGGGCCTGCATCATGCAAAGAACACCAATCCCACTGCAGAAAACAGCACTATAACCACAAGAGAGCAGCCATTCCCCCCTCATTTCAAAGAGTGAGCCTGAGAAAAGCCCCTCAGGTAAATATATCCACTGCCAACAACAAGTAAGTGTAAATACATGCAGGGATTAAAGGTAAGTCTTTATATATAATAGTTTCAGAAACCACTGTTCTCTTGTTCTTGTCCTCTCTATGCTCCATTCATTGCCTTTTCCTCTCACTTTCTTTTTAGTGCCTAATGCAATGGGGCTCCATCACTGCCCTTATCAACACAGCAACCAGGAAGCCTTTTCTTTGGTAAGAATAGAGGAATATTAAGCATTTTACCATTGCTGTTTTAGTACATCATATTCCCTTTTTCACTACATTCCTTAAGAAAAAGCCAACATCAAGCAGTGGGGGTGGGTAGGAGACAGCATCTGTTCCCAGCCTTCCATCTGGCCATGGTGGCTGGTAGAACATTCTGCTCTCATCCTCACTGTGGGGAAAAAGGCATTGAAGAAGCTGGCCCGACCCCAAATGTAACTTTGGAACCAACTGAAGAGACTCCTGTAAATGAAATTTAGGGGAGAAGCTGCCTCTTGAGTCAGTCCTGGCAGAGAGAAATCCATCTCCGAAAGGGGCTTTTTCCCCTGTGTTTTCCTTCTGGCATCCTGCTAATATGACAGCAATTAAAGGCCCTGAGAACTGGATGGAAACAATTTGGGAAGGTCTCTATTAGGTTTGCTCTCATTAGCACTCCAGGCTGGTTTTCCATCAGCTAATTGACAGCTGCCTTCCACATGCAGTGTCCAAACAGAAAAGCCCCGAGGCATTATACCCAGGTAACACGAACTGGGGCTGTCTCATTGGACATGTGAAGGAGCACAAGGGACACAGTCACATGAGCCCACCATGGCCAAGCTGATGTCAAGCAGCTCTGATGCTGGGGATGGCAAAGCGGTTAAGATGGGATGTGCACGAGGAACTGGGACATGCCAGGTCTTCCTGCCACCTGCACTTGGAGCATCATTTGCATCCACAGAGAAGAAGGGATGCCCTCAGCAGCAAGCAAAGCTGCAGGCATTTGCTGCCTGCCTGGGGCTGTCAGGGCAAGTCTTACTGTGCTGACAAGGGTTGTGACCACTCTCTGGACTTGCTCTGCCTTGGGGAAACTGCAAGAGCCCTCCAAAGCTAAAGGATTCCACCTACAAAGCAGTCCCAGGAGTTTGGGTTCCAGTCCTTTGGGTTCCTCTAACCTGGAAGCAATGATGCTTCACAACTGCCCCTAAAAACACAGCATTTGCCAAAAAAAGCCCACCCAGCAGTAAGGCAGAAAGCTCCCTGAGGCAGACCCAGCTTTTCTTGGTCACCTGGGAAAATCAGGGCAATTCTTGTGCTGAAAGTCAATCAAGTCAGTTAGAATCCTAGCTTTAGCAAGACAGCAGTGGAAGGAGGTCCATATAATGAATCACTGCCACCACTGCACAGGGAGACAAAGGAAACAAAGGAGAGACCCTTTCTGGCGTACCCTTTACCTGCTGGTGCACTGCCTACGGGTGTCACAGATGTTCTTTCCTGTTATGAGAAAAACATAGGATTACCCTAAACACAGCCAAGAGATGAACTGCCATGAATTCCTGTGGGGCATGCTCACTCTGCACTAAAACACATGGAGGTGGCTGAGCCAGCAGAGCTGGACCTGAAAGCGAGACAGAGGTGTCTCGTGGATGCCCAGACTCTGGGAAGCCACTCAGTGAGCAAGTGGGTGGTAACACGAGATGTTTGCTCTGTGGGTTTATGCAGCAACAGCACTGGAAATCACTGGGGAGCCAGGATATGGAAAACGACTGCATGCCAAGGGGGCATTCCACTCATTTGTTGTTTAAACGGATCATTCAGGAACTGTTGGTTTTCCTCTCGCAGCTCTGCCCTGGCACCCAACCCAGATTTCCTGCCTACAGAGAGCACTGATTGCAGAAGAGGCTTATAGGAAGGGCTGAAGATGTTCCCACATTTCAGCTCTGAGTGTCCACTCTGGGACATAAGAAGCTGTACCTGGACTGCTTTCTTGGGGCAAGGTTAGGTCCAGGTATTGGGCATACTCCACCAGGATGCCCTGGCATTTGGCTGACATCCCCTCAGCTGGAAACTTGGCTCTGGCTTCTTTTTCTAGCTGAACTGCAAAGGTCAACAGGGAGGAAAGGGAGGGAAAAGACATCAGTTGGGCACAGGGGTAAACCAGTCCAGCTCTGGTGATGCCCTAGGAGATGGGCATCTACAGATATGTTCCCACTTCGCCCATTTGGAGTGATGGTAGATTGGTTTTTGGGGGCTGAGCCTGAAAACTAACTTCATTTGAAAACAAACTTCTTTTGGCCTGTCAGCACCAACAACCACAACCTTTGGCAGTGGGTGGGAAGAGCCCATCAGTCCACGCACGGACCTGGCTGTGATTTACAGGGAGCCCGCTGAGTGCAGATCTCACGTCATTTCAAGTAGGAATAGCTGTGACTGTTGCTGCACGCTGTAAATCTGTCTGTGTGTCACATAATGAACAGCATCGTCTCCTGCAGGCAGCATGATTTACAGGCATGGAAATAGCTGCAGTAAGGTCACGGCTGGGGAATTGGGGGAGAGGCAGTGCAGGGGCAGGAGCACAGCCTGCACCACATGGGTGGGTGGGATGCTGCCCGTGTGCTGCCCTGCACTGTGCTCAGACACCCAGGATTGAGGGCTCTGTCCCACAGCACAGCAAGCACTGGGCTTGTAAGACATGTATATGGCCTCCATCATCCCAACATGCTATTTTATGGTACTTACCAGGAGAGACTGTTGCATTAAAGAAATCATTCCCTGAGCAGAAGGGAACAATGAAGGTTTCTCCAAACCAAGGGCAGGGAGTTATCTGGAACACAAATAACCACTGAGCCTGCCGATGCCTCTGTTTCTATTAAAGAGAAATATGTCAGAGATCAAATTCTGCAGTAACTTAGCTAATAGTTGGCTGCATTACTGAGATCTCTACATAGGCTCACCCTGAAATAACTGAGCTTCAGAGCTCGCCAGGAGTTCCCCACTGCAATGGGTCTTTCAGGCAGGCAAATGCAAATGCAACTTCTGCAAACTTGGACTTTTCTGCAGGAAACCATATTGGAGAATCCATCTTCCCCTGGCAATAAACAACATCCACTCCCCAGCTCACCCCCACTCCCATCCCAAACCAAGTAATACTGAATCTCAGCTCAGTTTCCTTGGGATGAAAGCTCCAGGTCATCTGGATGTACTGGTGTAACTTCCCACATGGACACTTTAATCCTGGTATACAGATAATATGCAGATAATCTCAGTTTGAAGGAGTTTAAAATAAAACTCTATTCCTGTCCTGGAATGAGCATTGCTCTCTGGGACTTCACTCGTATGACTGGTCTGGTTTAGCTACCAGCAGAACAGAGAGGTCTACTTTTGGTAAGGAAAGTGTGTTACACTGATGTACAGCCCAGGGAGCATCCCTGGGTGCCCAGCACTAATATAAAGTAAGATGCCTATTCTAATTACTGCTTGTTTCCCTGTCCTGGTCTGTGAAACCAAGCTCAGGTCAGCTCCTGACCTATCAGGTTTAATTCTCTAAACCACACAAAATGTGCTCTCCCTTCTAGTCTATATCCCTAATATACCCCTAATATCCCTAATCCAAAAGACAGAAGTCCTGTATGCTCTCTGGACTGCTCCATTAACAGCGTTTGCTGAAGAAGCAATCAGAGACCACAACAGCTTTTTCCACCCATGTCAAAAGAAACCTCATTAACAACTACCCACACCACAGGTTACCTGCCCAGTACTAACTAGCAGTAAGCAGTCTATACACCAAACAGCCACAGAGCACACCCAGGAGTCCCACCACCCTAAGCATATGTTGTAAGGTCCATAAATACCTCTGCCAGTGGACACGCACCCTCATCTGGTCCAGCATCAGCCCAGGGTAGCAACCTGCCCAGCATCACCTTGGTAAAGCAAAAGGGAGAAAATCCAGCCCAGCCCAGCCCTGCCTTCATGCATAGCACATGAATGAGGCTCATCCACCTCTTCTCTTGCTGCTGTGACAGGGTTTGCTGAGCCAGACCTAAGAGCCCTGCTCATGCCAAGGGTTCTACAGGACAGGCATCACTGGTCTCCAGGGGTTTGTGTTGGCAAGCTTATGCTCAAGCACACATCTGTCTTCTTGGTGCTTCGGACACTGCGTCTGCTCCACGAAATAAGGTCCTTTCATGGTCACCAAGAGGCTGGTCAGCTGGAGAGATGAAGCAAGGATGTCCCTGGTTGTGGGTCAGAGAGCTCAGGGGCCACAGTCACACCAGTGTCACTGACCCACTGGACTGGATGCATCCATTGTCACTGTGAAGTGTGCACAGGGGAAGGACAATATTTCTTCCTTTAATAAATAGCAATCCAAGAGCCATGAGGTTGTCCTGGTGCTCTGAAAAGCCAGAATTCCCCTTTGGCTCTCTATCCAGCTTCCATCATTTCCCTCAATGTCTGTCCTGCCATATAGCTCTCTTATGGCACTGGCCACACTTAGTTCTGCAGAAAGGCTGTGATCAATCTGCTGTGATCAATCTGCAATCACCTACAATGTGCCCAAACACACAGACACAACAGGCATCGAACAGTTACAGGCTGGTCCTGTTTGCCACCCTGGCTGCTGTTCCAATGCCACACACCCAAAGCAATAACAAAAACCCTCCAGAGTTGTCCCCTCCCATCTTCCCAATGTTCAGGGGTGCTCACCAACATGCTGCAAACCTGCATCTTCCAGCTGACAGAAATCAGACCCGAATCTCCTGCTGGTGATAGACCGGAAAAGCATGATGCTGACGTTGTCTTCAGCATCACCCTCAGGCTCTGGGGACTGGGTCTGTGAAGGCTACCGAGTGCACCAGACTGCTCAGGAAAGGCTGTTTTAAGGGATTACTTCCTCAGGCTTTTTGTAACTCTCAAACCATGAATCTCTGCAGAACATGCCATGGCATTTGCAACAGCACATGATAACTGAAGATGTCACTAGCACAGTTAGCATTACCCATGCTGTCAGCATGCAAATGCATCTTGTAGCTTGGGCTCATGTATTTGCAGAAATCATCTATTACTGAATCACTGCAGCTGCATGGTTGTGCAGCCTTCATCTCAAACTGGGAAACGTATAGGAGGGGAGCTGGAAGGTAACCCCCACTTCTCTGCCTTTTCAGACTTCCCTACAGAAGCAGCACAATTTCCCCAGACGAACATTTCTGACCAGGAGAGTTCCCCATAGAAATTTCCATTAGAAAATACCCAGCTTGATGGTGCGCATGAAGGGAAAAGCTGTTGTGTAAGAGGATGATGCATTTTATCTGGTTCAAGTAGGTCAACGGGCAGCAGGAGAAGGCCTGGGCTCTGGCTGCGGCTCTGCTGCTGGGTGACCTTGGAGAACCACTGCCACGCTGTGTTCCCATCTGTGAGATGGGGATAAGAAAGTGTCACACACAAACTCGACGGGTTATTAATAGGGGCCTCTGGCTCAGATTTCGAAACAGCCCAAGGGGTTGAGAAGCCCATTTGTTCCTAACAGTTCAAAGCAGGCAAGAGACTCAGATTTCCTTGACACTTCTGAGCATTAAAGTTAGGAAAAAGCACTCTCAAGAGCATTTGTCTTGAGGGAAGCAAGCATCTGAGTATGCGACTTTCCTTTTTCCTAATGCAAATAAAGCAAATCACCAATGAAGCTGAAATGTTTGGTTTGGTTTGACTTTTACACTGAAAACCACCAGATACAAATCTGAACATCAGCTACTCTGAATGCCAGAGTTGTGGTCGAAAAACAGCTGATGCAGTGGTCAAAAGGAAACATTCTGACTACATGGGATGGGGCTGTTTCCACAATTTCCTGTTGAAGCCATAGGTGAAATTGATACATTTCTCCCCAAATGTTTGGATTTCGTTCAATGGCTAGATCCAATAGTAGCAGCTGTGTAGGTTTGGTTTAAACGTCTAACAGATATAAAGGAGTTTCTGTAGGGACTGCTGACTTCCTAGGTTGACTGGTAAAACCCTGGTGACGAAGAGGGCTGTGAAAGGTGGCAGATTTCGTGTGGGATCAGGTCTGGAGCACAGCAGAAGCCTGGGACAGGGAGTGGGGGGACACCACTGGACAGCATCACATGTAGGGGCTGTGCTCTGGGATGGGATACTCTAACACAGGTTCGTAATTCAGCACTTCTCATTCAGGCCAGCTACAACCCAGAGGGAGCAGAGGGCATTTAACATGCATTTAAGTGATGTGGAAAGGAGGAGTACAGCCTGGGAAAGGGAATGAAAGCAAAGCAAAAGGAACATCAACGTTCCTTGGCATTTTATATGAACCCTGAGAATATTCAGTCCCATGCAGGAGCAGGGGAACGGGCTGCATAATCTTCCTTTCCAGCTCTGTTTGAATGGCAACATGGACACATCTTGCTTTCATTCTGAATTTTACACAATCTGACATGGCTCTTGACTTCATTAAAAAGACATTTGGAAACAAACAAACGAAAAACTCAACTAAAATCTTTGTCAGCTGATTTTTGTCTCCTGGAAAGTTTTCATCTTGAATGAAGGGAGTTTACCACAGGAGAAAAGAAAATCACTCCCTTGGAAAGCATTCAACCACTTCTTGCTTGCTGCCTCAGCTCTGTGTTTACTGCAACCGCAGATGCAGCAGCAACACAGGGCTGAGATGCCAGGATTACAGTTCCAAGTCATTGCTGTGCTGACCCCTTATCTCACCCATAGTCCCGGATCTCTGCTGCCTCAGCCATGAGGACAGCGCAGTAACACATCACCCACATTGTCATGAGTGTGCTCAGCAGATGTAACTGCTGTTTCCTAACTGAAACCCCACGCCTAAGTGGGATTCGAGGTAAACATTTCCTTCCAGCCAGAACAGGCTGCGGTGACAACTGGTTCTCATCAGAGATCATTCTTCTTCTGCAGGTGACAGGGCTGATGCATTGGAGACCCTAAAAAAGAGGAGACCGTGAGCTCCATCTGCTAGTGTTAGAGAAACCAAACTGGGATGGATTACTTTCACTTACTGGGATGGATTAATTTCATTTACTGGGATGGATTACTTTCACTTACTGGGATGGATTACTTTCACTTGGATGCAACATAATTAAAAGGAATTTGTGAGACACTCGCACACAGAGAAATTCCTAACAGCATAAAAGGGAGGAAGGGATGGCTCATAAGAGTGATTCCCTCTGGGGTTTTTTGGCAACCCAAAAACATAAGGTTGTAGAAGGACTCCACGCTGAGGGGAGGACAATAAGAAGGAGGTGTTATGGAAAATGACCCTTCCCTGAGCAAAGAGATCTGATATTCCTGCCATCCCTCTGCATCCTTCATCTGCTCCTTAAATCTGTTTCCAATGAGCAGATGCAGCCTTAACCTTGAGTCCAAAAGACGTCACACTCACCTGCTGTGGTTATGCAGAGCTCACGCCTTGCTGCCTGCACTGCACTGCTGGGCACCACTCCACGGACCTCTGCTCACCATGGCTCAGCCAAGATGCACCCATCCAGCAGCCCACGCTCCAGGCAAGGGATGCTTTGCACCTGATTCTGAACCAAAACCAGTAAGTTTTATCCCCACCCCCCCAAAAGGTGGGTTGATCACAAGTTCCCAGCTCTCAGAAACACCTCCAGACTTAAAAGGACAATTACAGGGACAAACTTACAAGGAACACTGTTATATTTCATAGGATCTGTCTCAGGACCAAAACTTACAAATTATATTTTCCTGCCCCACGTCAATGTAAAGTGAGTTTAAAGATGCTGAGGTTTCTCCTATGAGGAGGCAGCTGACCTCAGGTAGAGGTTAGTTCTGAACATGCAAAACGGGGAACTAGTCTTAGGCTTCATTTGACTAAACTCAGGTTTTTAGGTGTCCAATGCAATGTAGCTTTTGATCCTACAATCCAGTATCACTGTGAAACGTAACTGAGGATCAGAAGAAAAAGCCAGGAGGAGGGAGCTATCCTGTCCCTGCAAAGCTACACAACATTAAGTGATATCCAGTCATAGAAGTGAATGGAAATCTTCATAATCCAGTTCCGTTCTTTCTTATTCCTGAGCTGGTTCTGCCCAAAGCAATGACCTGAACAGAGGGAGAAATCGTCCCTCCTTCCCTCCTCCTCCATTTGTTCCAGCACTGTGTTTGGTTTTCTTTTTATTGCATCTGAGGACTTGGAAATGATCTTTATCAGGTGCCTTTGGGATGTTCTTGTCTGCTATTGAGCTCCAGGGAAAGGAGGAAAAAACCCTTGGACTGAACAGGAAGTCACTGTTTGGAGGCACTGACACAGCTATTCAAAATGGGAGTTATGTGACATATGGGTGGGATTCGCCTGGAAAAAAAAAGGGGATACAGGGGGAGCAGGGGCTGTGTGAGGAAAAAGGGCTTGAACAAGCCATGCATTGCTCTAGGACTGCGTTTCTCCCAGGACTGGCCTAAGCCTGCTGCAACGGGCGATAGCCCAGCTATCAGCATCACTGGTGCATGGTCAAGCCAAGGCTGAATGCTTCACTTGTCACTTTGCTGGGTTGGGCTTCCATCCACTTCCTACTCAGCCTGGGCTGCTTATTGTTTTCCTGCAGCCCGTGGGGATCTCTTGTGCATGTGCAACATCCCTCGTTCCACAGCTGAGCAGTGGGAACGACAGCAATGAAAGCTCCCAACCACTAACCCCAACAGCGCAGCACTGCCCAGCAGCCAAGAAGGGGAGGTGCCATGTCCCCTCTAGGGGACCCCACATGTCAGGAGCCCTGTGGCTCCCCATCTGAGAGGATCTGGGCAGTGCGAAGCAGCTTAAACTCTTATTTACTCACCGTGCTTCAGAGCTTCGTTCTGGTTTGAGTTCACCTGCAAACGGATGGTTTGGCTGCAATCCTCTTTGAGGTCAGTTTCCATCTATAGCAAGAAACCCCATGGTTCAGTCTGTGTTTGCTTTGACTCATTGCATCAATTCCAGTTTCTGCATAGGCAGGAAACCACAGTGAAGAAGAGCTGAACAAAGACGTCTGGGTATTCCCCACCATGACTGCATCACAAACATAACCCTTCCTGCCTGAGGTGCTTTGACAGTGAACACCCCTAATCCTACCTGCATTATGTGAGACAGAGGCTTAGATCGAACAGAAGTCAGGTTTACACATGTGCTTAAGTGTGCAAGGACTCTGCATCCAGGTCCTGTCACTCCTTGTAGTTTATCCGCTGACAAAGGTTAAATAGATGGAAAACAAATCATTAGCCATTGAATCTAGCACAAAACAATGAAATCACCCAGAAATTAGAGCAGGAAAGAACATGGACAGGAACAGCAACGTTAACCGTGGTCAGCTTGGCTAAAGCACCTAGATGTAACGAATTAGTTTTTCCCTTGTAAAAAGCAAACCATGTTCTGAATTTGCTTTTACTTGAAATGGGTAGGAATTGTTTCTGGGTTTAAAACCATGAGATAGTTTCACTATGACTAACCTTTAAAAAACCCCATGGAAAATACTGTTCAAATAAACCAAAAGGCTACAGCGAACCTTCAGAAATGAACCTGTCAGAAATGGGCTCTTTGGCTCCAAGAACTCATGGAAATGAGGAAATTTGGAGTTTGGAACGAAAGTTGAATTATTAGCTCAAGGTAAGTGGTTAATGAGTGCTAAATACACACGTCAGTGAAAGATACACAAACTGAAGTGGCACTTCTAGGAGACTTCACAGGGCAGGAACAGCCGTACATGAAATCTGTCAAGCTGCCCTTTGGGACAGATTTGCAACTTAAAGAGCAGCAAACTGGAGTCGTGGTCCCACTGCTTTTGCTATTGCTGCACCCCTTCCATCCCCCTGCACCCACAGCTGCCAAGCAAGCCCTGCCCTACACTCACCCCAGGCTGAGACCCACTCTGGATGGGTTCTTGCTCCTCTTCTGTGCTTAACGAAGAGTGAGGGATAGGTCGGAAGCACACACTGAGCTCTAGTTGAATATCCCAGCTGCTGCCACACCAGCTCCTTTGAACTGTGATTTATTTGTGGAGGAGGACGGGGGATGCCTCGGTCACAGTGTTTAAAGCAGAGCTGCCAACCAGCCTTTCATTTCGGCTCGCTTTGCCCATTAGACTAAACAGGTTAGGGCTTGGCTGAAAGACATTGCCATGCCAGGTGATTTATCATCGCCTGTGAAGCCCAGGGAATACAGGTCCCCCAGCACAAGCACGGCTCCTATTTGGAGCCCCGTGCAGGGTAAGGGGTAGAAGGACCTCAGGCGTTGTTTATTTTGGATGTCATGTAATGGTAATAAAGAAGGCCAAGCAGCAGCACGTGTTAGCACTGAGTCAGCTTTGGACGCCAGGAAAACAGATGATCTCAGAGCTGGAGGGGACCTCATGGGGTGGCTCTGCTGGTCTGCCCCAGGCAGGACGTCACGGCAGCCTCCAGCACCCTGCCCATCCAAGCCACGACCTCCAGGGACACGAACCCCACAGTAACAGAATCAGAACACAGACTGGAGGGTGCTGGATCCCAGGACTCTGACTTCTGCTGTTGTTGTCTTACCTGTTTCCTGCATCTGATTTCCAAAGTCGTCTGATGGACGCAGTAAAAACCGCTTTGCCTGTGAACAACTCCCCAGCAAGGCAGGATTCTCTCACAGTTCAGGGAAGGGATTTTCAGTCTTCCAGCCCTGAAGATGTTCAGTTTGAGGATTAGAGGCTGTGTCACCAACCCCTTTGGGACAGAAAGGGGAATGGGACCTAAAATGTTATAAAAAGACAAAAACAAGACAACACATTTATAGGCAGAGAATGATGACAGTGACTTTTTCCCAGCAGGAAGCATTTTGATAGGAAGTGCCTGGCTACTTCCATTTCCAGTGCAGGTTCATGCTGCAATGTGGTATCCCTGAGATTTCAAGATTAGGGCTAGCAAAGCACAGGTAATTAACTGTAGTAACAGAGCTGGGAATCAGACCCATCCAAAAGGGGGGGTTCCAGCTCAGTTTTGGAACTGGTTTTGAGCTTGCGCAAAGCTTTCAAAATGAAGAAAAATACTAAAATATAAATTATTAAATATATTTTCTTATTTAAAAACACACTTTAAGCCATCAAACACCAGGATGCACACACAGTGTGATGAGCTTTGCCAGATCATCACTAAAACATTATCTTGCTGGAAGGGAAAGTTGCCAAAGAAATGCTTCCTCCCCATAGCACAGAGTTGTCACTCCTGGGAAATGGCATTGAAAAGCCTTCCCAGGAAGGGAACCTTCGAGGTTCAGGAAGCAGAAGGTGCAAACAAGGATGCTACCACCTGCACTGGGGCAAGACTTTTTGCACTAGAAGTCCCAGCACTAGTAGTATGGATGTGGGGAGCAAGGAGTCAAAGCACAGTGATTTGACTTGCTCCTGCTTTATTCAAAGGGCAGGCATGTCTGGAGCAGCCTAGGAAGTGTCCTTTTCTTTTTCCTGAATGATGTGTCTGAGGAGTAGTGTTACTCACCACAAGTAACTTAACACAGGCAGGGACTCAGTGGGAAGAGGAGAAGAGCGCATCTGGCTGGGGGAACCTCAAAACACCCATCCCTCCACCCACAGACCCCATGTGGGATATCACACACAATTCATTATGTTCACACCAAGGGAGTGGAAAGGGACCTGCCATCACATTGTCATTGCAGTGGGGATCCATCCCTCACTGTCTATTCCATGATACATTGTCCACGACTATGGGGCTGGGATACCCCAGGCTGTGCAAGATGGGCACATCCTGTGTGGGGCAAAGCTGCGGGCACACAGAGCCTGGGTGGTGGAGGGCAATGCTGCAGCAGTGTTGGGGAGCCTGGCAGCATTCCCTTCCTATGGTGTGGTTCAACATGTTCTCTTTTTTCCCCCCTATTAAGTAGGATCTTGATATGATTTTAGATCTTGACATGATTTTAGATCTCCTCCAAGGGCAAGAGTCTTTAGCAGAGAAACCAGATGTGCCTGGAGTTAAACACATGAGCTGAGAGCTTGAACTTTTAATGCATGGAAAGGTTTCTATCAATTAAATTAGTCTGCATTTCCCTGCTCTCCCCTCCAGGCTGAGGACCCCCAGTGTCAGGCTCTGTGTAAACCATGACTGTAACCTCTTCAGAGTGGGGCAGGCAGCTGTCCTGATAGCAAAGGCAAGTAAATGGGGAGAGAAGGGTCCCCCCTCTCTGTCTGGGGACCACACTGTCCTGCAGGGACCACTGCAGCAGAGAGAGACAGAGAGGCAGGGGTGCATCTACCCGCCTGGCCAGTAAAAGCAACTATAACATGGTCGCGCACTCACCCTGGCTTACACTCGCTAGGAGAAGGAACAAGAGTTTGCACCATGTACATCACTGGCTTTTTGGTTGCTAAAGTAGGGGCTCCCCACATTGCCTGAATTTCAGCATCATGGCTGTGCTGCCATCATTTTGCTGCATTAAATAAGGCTCAAAGCCTGCCATGATGCCTGGGCTGCAATGCCAGCCCTGAGCCCAGCTCTGCCAAGGTCCACTGTGGTAGCTCCAATTTATCGCTTAATTCCTCATTTGTTTGCTTCATGCCTCCCACCCTGGAAGCGTGTGTGGACCAGCCCTGCGCTCAGCAGCACAACCAACCGGCTTCCTCACACCTCTCGAGGCTCACATCATACTCAGCCTTGTCACATCCTGCACTGGGTTATCTCCTCTGGAAGCCCACATCCAAAATGCACCCAAGCCTGCATGCCCACTAGAGGACAATGTCCTTTATTTTAGTGTACAATGTTCACTAAAGGACAATCACAGCTCAGCACTGAATCACTGACGGTGACCAGCTTCTCCTTACCTTGCAGATGATGTGGCTGCAGCAAGCAGAGCACTGCATGCACAGAAACCAGTGGAAGCAAGGGAAGAAAGCACACAGATCTCTCATCACTGGGAAGGCTGAATTTCTTCCTTAGCCTTAACTTGGCCCCTGAGCCGTTTTGGTGGAGGCTGCCATCACAAACAATGTGCTCTGTTTTCCTGACCAGGGTCTGAGTGAGAGCTGAAATCCCCTTCATTCGCGGGCTGGGTTTTCTCCTCCTGTTTTCAGGGAAGAAAAAGTCAAAAGGAGCCCAAGGGCAGACCACAACAAACCGAGCCTCCTCTTCCAAACCCTCCAAAAGGACATTTTCATCCTCATCATGATATAGGAACAATATTTATCTCAGCTGCAGCCAATCTACAGCATCTGTGGCATGGTGCATGTGTGTGTGTCACACATGTGGATGCCTGGGACGATGGAGACGAGTTCAAACACAGCCCTGTAACATGAGGCTAGCAGGAACTGCTGGCCATCACCCAAGATAAATGGCCAGGACTGTCCATACACAGAGCGAAGGCAGTGGTCAGCCGCTCAGCTAGCTACACTCACACCATGCTTGCCAAAGCAAATGGGCTGCTTTGACCCTGGCTGATATTCCCAACACAGTCTTCTTCAGGCAAGCCACAGAGAACCCTGAGTTTGCCTGAAATACAAATAAGATCTGTTAGATGGGAAAGCCCCGAGCAAGGATGCTCGTGCTGAGCCCAGGGCAGCTGTAGGCTGCTTTGTACCCCCTCCTTCCTGAAGATAATCTCATTGTCTGTAGCAGATTTGAAAAGAAGTAAATCCTTGAGATGAGAAAAGACACGCACCTCTACAAAGACATCTCTTCCAGGAAATGAGAGTTCTCCTTGGGCTGGGGGTTACATATCAGAGGCTATCGATACAAGTCAACACTGCTCTCATCAGAAAGTTTTATGCTGGGAAATGCTGTTCTGTGGAGGTACCTTGCATTGTGTCAGCACAGCTGGATTTTATCAGCATTTTTGGAGTATTTTGATTTTATTGGAGTATTTTGTCTTTTCCATTTCAGTTTTGCATAAGCTTAAATAATTTAAATTAACATAAAAATGTCATTCAGCCAATTTTTATCACTGTTTTTTCTCATTGAAAAAAATCTCACTTTGTGGCAAATTTCAGTCTGGTTTGACACGGAAGAGAAACAAATTTCCTTTCAAATTCCTTTCCAAATTATGCAAATGTTCATAGAAGACAACATCTGGTTTCCACATGTATCTGATTGTTACTGTGATGAAGCCTTTAGCATGGTGTCTCTTCCCATCACAGAACATTAACTCAAATTGGCTTGGATGGGAATAGTCCGTGAAGGCGAAGAGCTAGATGGGAGAAAAGCAAGAAGGCAACCAAGAGAGTGCACTGCTGGCAGAGCTGGTGGATTCCATTTGGAGGTCACTGTTAGGTTTGATATTCTTTTACATCTTTATTAATGACATGAAATGCAACTCGATCTGTCAGTGAAACAAGAAAAATAAACAACACAACCAACTGGCGAAGCTGAGAGCAAAATAGTTTCTCCATGAGGTTACTGGTTAGACAACACCTGAAATAGCACAGCCCTTTCTGGGCACCCAACGCTATGATTTCAAGGGAGTTCATAGAAAAGCAATAGAGATGGTGGAGATGGAGGTGTTGAACTTGGCTCAAGGAAAGGTTGGGCACAGCAACAAGCTATGAGTGCTTAAAGAAAACAAACACCGAGGCAGAAGGGCTGACCTTACTGAGGATGATGTCAAGCAGAGCTAGAATTTCACACTGAGGAAGAGGAGGATTTAGTGGTGGAGAAGGCAAGATGCAGGAGCCATTGGATGAAAACAGAGGAGGCCGACTGCAGTTTCAATACCAAGGGAAAACAAGGCAAGACATTCCAGTTTTGTTTAAAGGCAGCAAGACCCAGAGCACCAACCGACTGGTGCGGAAAGAGCCAACTGCAGCTTTGTAACCCTCTAATTAAAACAAGGTTAAATAAAACCAGTGTTACATATTCAGCTCTGACGAGAGAGGGAGACTGGATGCTAACAAAAGCAACGCTACACCCCCTGCAGCCAAACTCCCAAGTGTAGCAAGAGACGGCATCTCCCCAGCTAAAGAACAGATGGTTTTATATGGGAAGTGTAAATAAGATGTTACCATCTGGTTAATAAAAGTTGCATTGAAGCTAGATTTGACTACACATCCTCAGATGTGAGCATTTAAGGTTTTCAGCCAGAATGCCCACGGAGAAGGAATTCCCATTGACATCCAAAGTGTTGAACAGAACCACAAAATGTCCTGACAGTCCTAAAGACTACAAACCTATATTAAATCTCATTGCTGTCTGTGCAGAAATGTAACTGCACAAATATAACTGGCTCTACTAGCAGAATGTATAGTGCACTGATCAATAGCTGATGAGATGTAGAGGCTATTGGAGAAGCTGGCCTCTGCAATGTACAGCAGATGTAAAAAATAAGGCTTAAAGCAAGCTATTTTCAGAAAATGGTAACTCTGCTGGAAAAGTCTGCTTTGGACATGGAATCTATTCATGCATTTCAGCTGAAACTGTCAATCACTTGTTTGTTATAGAGGGAAAGACATTCCTGAGGAACTGGAAACGCTTTCTGGTTTGGTTTGTTTTTCAAAAGGCCCTTTTCTTCTTCAACTGTCGTGGTATTAAAATAATGATCCTTCCTTCACAAGGACTGACCCTGACATCGAAAGAGAATGTTTATTCCAGGTTGCACATAAAGTTTTAAATTACTTAAAGAAAAGGGTTTTGTCTTTCGCCTTTGCTTGCAAAGAAACCAAGGAATTTCCAGTTTGGCTTGGACACCAACCCAGGTAGCCCACTGCATCCATCCCTCCAGTGAATGGTAACTCCAGCTCTGCCAAAAACCTCCTACAGCTTTCCCATCAAGAGGGGGTTTTACTCATGATTAAGATTAGAATAAATGAACAAGATGAATGATAGGAAACCAATTAGATCAACGAACATGGGCATAACCCAACACCCTCTCCAATCAGAGGAGAGTCTAAGTGATTGCAGGGGGTTAGGGTAAGTTTTGGGCAGCCAAATAGGAATGAGAAAACACAGCCCCGAACCCCCATCCCCACCACACCAGCACACTTGCTCTTGGAGCCTGCTGCCAATTTTTATCTTTATAAAGGGGCTGAGTTAGCAGCAGAACTGCCAGGACTCAGAAGAAGGTGAGATAGCATCGCTCAAAGTCTCTGCATGCAGGCAAAGAGGAAACACACTTCAGCAACAATATTAAGAACCTGCCAATTTCACATGAGATAAATAACTAGAGTTACCCTGCTCTATGTGTGTTCTGGAAATAGCACTACATACACCAGAACAGCCTGTTACAAAACTCTTCCCATCTTACTCAAGCTTTGGGTAACCGGGGCTTCATCTTCCCAACCACCATGAGTGGCAAAGCTATGGCACAACAGCTTCTCTTCTCTGTGTTCCTCAGGGACCCTCACTGAAAATGAAGCAACAATAATTTGGCTGTCCTGGTGGAGAAAGCAAGAGGAAGGCAAGAGGTTCCTCCTGACACAGGAGGTTTCTAGCAGGGTGTGATTCAAACCCAGACCTTCCACAAGGCCACTGTGATCTGTTTGTTTCCTTGAAGGTGTAAGCTTTACCGCTGTGAGACTGCGTTACCAGGACAGGACAAAAATCAGATGCTACCAAAGACTCCAGCAGAAAGGCACAAGGAGCCAACGCTGCATCCTTGTAAAAATATCCTCCAGTGTGCTTTCATTTTTAAACAAACAATTCTAAAGCTAACAATAGCACACTGCCATCATCCTACTGCCTTAAGCTATGAGCTCTTCATGTGCACAAGAGGCACCAGCAAGGGTTTCAGGCCTCATGGTCAAAAGTTAGGATCCACGGTCAAAAGCTAGTCAAAGGCTGGACCCTGTTTCTCTAGGCAAATCTTGGAGAGGCTTGAAACCATGGCACTGCAGTGCTCGAGCTGACATTTTCATTCTCTCCTTTCAATAAAAATCTCCATTTAGACATCAGAACCTCAAACAGAGGATGTCTAAATACTCCATCAATGCCATCATCCCAGCGGGGTGCACAGGTTGTTGAGAACAGCAGAAAAGAACCCAACAACAGTGGTTGCCTTGAAGCATGGCTGGTGCCCAGTGTACGTCAAACATCAGGACGCTCATTTCTGGCTGGAGCTCAAAGAACCACTGCAATGTCACTGGCTCTCCTTGGGCCAGGTGAAACAGTCCTGGGGAATTGCTGCTTTTGATCCAAGAGCTGATTCTGATCAAGAAATTCACAAGGGGAAAAATAACCCCACCAAAAACCTTGCTCTCACAGCCCGTGTGGGACTGCTTTGCTGGTGGAGCAGGCAAAAGCCTTCCTCAGGACCAAGCTGCTCTTCGAGCTGTTGTACATTTACAGCAATTTTTTTAATCATTTGGTTTAAATTTTACAGTTATTACATTTTTGTTAAAAGAAAGCTGGAATGATTCTTGATACGAACCACACTCGCTTTGTGCTTTCTCAAGCACCAGAAATACCCCATTGCAGGCACCCTCTGAAATGTTTGCCTTTTCCCTACACGCTCTTTAAGGGTATGTCAAGTTTCCTCGTTACAAAGAGGTGATTTCTTATCAGCTGCCTGGTGTGGTGCAATGTTTGCATTACATGGCAAGATGGATGTTACATGTTATTGGAGTCCTCAGAACTGTGAGAGTGGAGAGGAAGGACTAGGGACAAGGGCTGGCATTATCACAGGCTTGCCTTGGTCACGGCCAAGGACTTACACACACACAGACCTTCCCTATTCTTCCCTAAAAGAGAGGTGTTTCTTTTCTTCAGTAACTCAGCCATGCAGGACTCATGGCTGCACAGGGCACCCATTTAGGCTGCACTGGGTACCCATTTGGGCTGCACAGGGCACCCATTCAGGCTGCACTGGGTACCCATTTAGGCTGCACTAGGCACCCATTCAAGCTGCCCTTTCCTGAGTAACACAAAGAAACCAGCTGTTCTAAAGAGGAGAATTGCATCCTTCTCTCTTATTTTCCTCCTTATTTTGCTTTTCATCCCCATATGTCTTCCCAAAACACTTCCCCAATCAGTGCCCCTTTTCCCCCAAAGCTAGCTTGCTTGTGATGGGGGAACCTGGTTGGCTGCACTGAGGGTGCCACTTTGGACTGGTTCAACCTCTCTGCTTACCTTGTCACCAAGCTCCATCCTCTAGAGGCGTGTTTCTGCAGGGAGGTGGTGATGGAGGATGTAACCTGAAGCATTTCCTGGTTTCTCTCCTATTCCTCCAGCAAATTACCTCCAAACACCGTTGGGCAGAGCATGGGTAGAAAGTCCTCAGGAAGCAACTCAGACAACTCTGGAGCACGTGTGAAGGGAAAGCCTGGAGTTGTAAGTAGAAACGGACATAGAAAACATAAGTGAAAACAGCAGAAACAGGAGGGGAGAGGAAGGAGCCCTCCACTCCTGACACTGGAAAAGACCATAAACATCTGTGCCCAGAATGGAGGACATGGACAACCAGCTTCAGAAGGGAAGGGAGCATTTCCCAGTAAAGAGGGACAAAAGGAGACCTACTCTTTCAGCCTGCTGGCCAGGCATGGCATCCCTCCTTCCCTTATGTGCTTCTGGAGAGTGATGACAGTCTTTGGTAAAATGGGTTGGGCTTTAAATAAACTACTGTGGGACTATGGGGCTTTCTACTAAATATACGGGACTAACACCTTGGGTGCAGACAAGCTGGGGTGGAAATGGTGAATCTGAAAATTAGGAGGGGCAATAAGAGGGAGGGTGAGGATCATTAACTCCTACGAAAGAAATGGGAGCTCTGCTCCATTACCAACAGTTGGTGCTTGCTAGCTCCTCTCCCTGCTCTGCTTTGGGCCTGGTGTTGCTGTGCACAGAAAGAGGGACTTCTGCTGAGTCTCCCATATGGGTGTCCCATATTGTACAGGGCCCTGCCTAAAGATCCATGCAGGAGCACTGCTGGGTTGGGGTGAGCAGCGCACTGGGTGCCTGGGTGCCCAGCTGGGCAGGGCTGGGAGAGGCTGGTCACTGAAGCACCCACTGTCACCCAGCATCGCACAGCCATGGGGGTGCGGTGGCAAATGCTGTGGTTAATATGGACAATGGCTGAACTTGTACCTGGAAACATGCTGTGGTGTCAGGATCCTCAGTAGCAACACGAGGTCCGCATGGTGACCGTGCACCACCTCCATTTCCTGGGGGAGTTCAAGCCAGACCTGAGGTGTTAACACAGTCTCTGCTGTATAAATAATTATAAAATGCTTCAAATACCCCTTTAAAAAAAATAGGAAAAGTAAAATGAAACAACCCCAAAGCCCAGAACCGCTTATTGCATCTCCAGCAAAATATTATCTTAACCTTGCCTATCTTCAGCCCTGGGCTTTCACTAGCAGAACAAACATCTCTCCTCTCTGTACCCTGCCTGTTCTCCTCCTGCTTGCTTGGTGGTTACTGAAGTTAGACAGGACTGCAGGAGTGTCAAGATTTGGGGGCAAAAGAAGGTGGAGGTGAGAAAAGAAGCTTTTCCACTTTGTAGTCCTACCATGAGCATTTCACCCACAGGGGTCAATGTGAGACAGGCGAAGTTCATAGATGATTTATGACATGCAGCATATTTGATTTGCAAGGCTTGGGACCTTGGGCAGGACTCAAGGACAGCTCTGGGTGTCCTGGGCATGGGAGACCTCCAATTTCTGTCACTGTCTGTTACAAGCCAGCTCTGAAGGCAGCAAAGCAGCACCCAAAAGACTCAAGCTCAATGATGAAGGTACCGTGTCCAACTGGAGAGTGGTGCAGGGAGGAGAGACCTTTTGGGAGGCTTTCAGGATGTGGAAATAACATTACCTGTGTGATGCCCAAGGGTGGACAAAGCTTCCCTTCAGGACTGGGGAAGGATCTCTTCCCTTTTCCTCCTGGGTGATTACGCATCCCTGGGCTGGACTCTAGTTCATCCATGGGCAGCAGGGCTTCATCCTGTGGCCAGTGAGATTTGACACCTAAAACTGAACCAGCCCATTTTATGACTTGGGATAATGTAACTCATTTTACATCTGCCCTGGTTTGTTCCTTAAATGGCCTGGCTAGCAAATCCCAAGCTGGAGCTGTCAGTCTGCCCCTGGCCATCTCTGTAACTACACAAATGGGGATGGACTCATTCTGAAGTGTTCCTGGGCTAAGGGTGACCTACTTACATGGCTGCGGTGCGGTTCATTACAAATTCCTAATGATCTCATTGTTCCATTAAATGAAGGTTGCCACCTGTCCCCAAGACATTGGATCAAGCTGGGATTAACATATCTGCTGACCCATTTCCCCCTTTTGTAGGACACTGCCCCATGATCAATAGGGGTTCTTTTCAGACCACCCAAGGTTGAGCCTTAGCAGAGATGTGGTGCTGGGTCCCATTAGCAGAGGATGCTGAGAGGCGGGGCTCCTGCTGGTGGCAGGCACTGCCCCAAATCCTGACCCACTGATGATTTGGGCATCAGGTTCCACCTGCCCAGATCCCACCACAAAAAAAAAAGTCAAACCCTATGCACATCATTTAGTACGGGGGGGAAAGAGAGAATGTGATTGCCAAGGTTACATTTAGTGCAAATTAAATCCTTCTAAGCAAAACTTTGTAAGAGACTCTTTACAGAGCTGGAGGCTGCCTGCAGTTTTGTTCTGGGCAGTCATCCCTACTGCAGCATTATGGTGACAGAAAAGCCTGGTTAGCACCCAGCAGCCATTCTGGCTCATGGACCCTTTGCAGGGATGCTTGTTCAGCACGCTGTCCCAAGGCAGCCAGCCCAGCAGGGTGCAGGGGGTCCCCCTTGTCCTCCAAGGGACAGCCCCACAGCCAAGAGAGCTGGAGGTGGCAGGGTGGAAGCACAAGGAACAAAACAGATAAAGAAAGAGGGAGGAATAAATTCCCATGGACAGGCTCAGTGAGCACACTGCAGCCAAATGACCTCAAGTGCACTGCTTTCTTCCCTGGCTGGGGGAAGGCAGGAGTACAGCTGCATTCTTCATAAATAGGAACACCCTGGCTTGATGTTTTCTAAAGCTGTCTAGACAGCAGAGCAGGACCTTATTTCCAGTCACATAATCACTTCCCCATTTCTCTTTGCAGCAGAGGACATTTTCCAAGATTAGATAGAAGCTGGTGGAGCAACATGTTATTAACCTTGGGTGTGCCTCCCTGCTTTAGGCTCTCCCTGTCCAAGCTGGAGGTGCCGTTCTGTCTGATCACGTCTCCCCTTTATTCATGCCTTCCCCCTTGACAGAGAAGCTGCTTCTTCCACTAGCTTGCAAAAGATTGAATTACACACGGGTTGCAGACAATGGGGAGCAGAGGGTGCTGCGGGAAAATGACAGCTCCCCTTGGCAGAAGGTGAATATTATAGAATCATAGAAACAACCAGGTTGGAAAAGACCTTTAAACGCATCCAGTCCAACTGTTAACCAGCAGTGCCAAAGCCACCACTAACCCATAGCACTGGGGGGCCTCATCTACACGGGGTGTGAACACTTGCAGGGACAGTGACTCCAGCACTGCCCTGGGCAGCCTGTTCCAACACCTGAACACCCTGTGGGGAAGGAATTGTTCCTAATATCCAGCCTAAACCTCCCCTAGCGCAGCTTACCTCTTATCCTATCCCTTGTTACTTAGAAGAGACCGACCCTACCTCACTCCATCCTCCTGTCAGGCAGTTGTAGGGAGCGATAAAGCCCCCGCTCAGCCTTCTCCAGAGGAAACAACCCCAGGCCCTCCGCCGTTCCCCATCACACTTGCACTGCGCCTCCGTTCAACGGGGAGGCAACGAAGGGCCAACACACTCCGCGTTTTGCCTTGCACCGGGGAAGTGACACTCCCCTCCCCTGCAGCATAGCAGGGCTCGCTGCGGGCGCACACAGACAGACAGACAGGACCGCGGTACTCACCGGGTGCGCGGAGCCCACAGAGTGCCGTGGATGAGATGCGGTTCCGCGCCCGTCCGCTTGTAGAGCCCGCATCCGCGCAGCGCCACCAGCGTTTCCCTCCGCCTGCCCCGCGCAGCTTCGCCGGTACCCACCTTGTGCTGCTCAACACGGCACTGATAAGCATTAAAGCCATTGAAACCAGCTTTGTGCTGCGCTCCACCAGGCCAGTGTGCATCTGGCTGCTGGGAGGAGGTGGTGAAAAGACATCTCTGCTGGGGTGCTCACTGCACAGACATACCCCTCTGGCACACCCTGCACTGTGCAGCCTGTGCCCCCCCAGGCTGATCACCCTGAGTGTGTATTGTGTGCTTTTCATCATTACCAGTCCGTTCTCTTTGTTAAGACTGGAGCCCATTCCCACAGGACAGAGAGGGCAAACAAATACCCACGTGCCATTTGGCTGCAGCACATGGCCTGACACAGCAGCAGTGGCCTCTCCCCACTGCATGGGGATAAGGACCCACTGTGCATGGAGATGTTGCACCAGGCACTTTTGCTGCAGAAGGTGCTCCTGCTGGGCCAAGAAAAGGACTTTGTGACCATGAATGGCATGATAGGGGTGCACAATCAGCATCCTGTACCCGACATGGCCCGTGTTTTACTGCAGTGATGTGCAGTGATCTGTGCTCAGGTTATCTGGGGAAAGCACAGTCCAGCTCAGCTTGTTACACTGAATTAAATCAGCAAAAGCTGAAGACAAATAGACCATCAGACATGAGATTATTTCAGTTTAGAGAGTCGGAACAGGAGGTTTGCCAGCCTGATGGAGCAGCACTAACTCAGTAAGATAGAAAGTGTTTGAGGGGGAGGTGTTTATAGCTGAAGCAAAGGGCACATTGCTTGCTTGGTGTTACAAAAGCGATGCTGACCCTCTCCCCGAGCACTGTGTATGTAGGGTTACCCATCAGGAGTAAAACATATGTGGAACGGGATGACTGCCCTCTTCCCCACCTCTACAGGATTGCCACGTCTCCCCGCGGCTGTTAAAGTGATTAGCCATGCACAGTGCAAGGTCAGACAGGGATCTCTTTTTTCTGCTTGCTAAGCATTTTGCTTTAAAGGATGCAAAACCTGAGTTTGGGAATTATTTCACCTTGAGAGTATCCGGTGTTTCACTGCTCCCTAAAGCAAGCAGTTAAAATCATCCAGGGGGGCTGCCTTTCCTTAAGCAAATTCTCTACTGCTCTGCAGAAAGTAAATACATGAGCTACCCAATATTAATGCTTTCCTTCACAATTTACATATCAAGTGCTTTAATGAATTGTTTTCAGTATCATTGTCCTTACCGTGAATAAACTTAAAAGTAATGGGTTTGTAATTAATTAAAGTTTAATTACAATAGTTTGTCATTTTATTATTTGCAGTTATTACCATAAAGGTAATAAAAATTGCAGGCTCTCACAAGTGAATACAAATCCCTAATCAGGAGCAATCAACTCACACCATAACCTTGAACAAGGGTGATGTTATTAATGCAGCAGCTCTGAAGCCTGAGCCGGTGCCTTGCAGGTGGCACCTGCAGCATCCTCAACCCTGGCTGGGGCCGCATGGTGCTTTGGGCAGTGATGCTGGGATCCTCTTGCTCCTGCCCTTGGGCAGCCCTGGCCATTCCTCCCCTTTGAATTTCTTTCTGCACAAGCTGGGCAGTCACCCACCGGCTAAAGAAGCTCCCATACCTGCCTCCTGGATGTTCCCCTTGCACACACTTGATTTCCTAAAGCAATTATCCACCATAAATCTGATTAGCTATAATTTATCCAGGTCCTTGGATGAGTTTTTCATTCCTATCAAGTTTAAAATTCTTCCTTAAATCCTAATTTCTGCATCATAATCTTCTAATATTGAATTTTCAAGGAAATTTTTCCAGTATTATGAAAGGTCATTCCTAAGCCACTCCAATATTTTGCACCTCTGACATGGTGACCACTGCAGCTCTGAAGCATGAAGGATAAAAGGAGAAGGGTTAAATTATATCTGCATTTGCTGCTGTGCTGTCCTAGTGACTATTTCCAGGACTTGCAATGCCCATGTTTACATGCAGTTAATTCTCCCTACTTGAGGGAATAAGATAATGTGTTTTCTCATCCCTGCATCTTAGTGGACTCCAATCATACTCATGCCTCCGTGGTGCATTGCCCTTGGCTTGGTCTGATACCTTAAAAACCCCATGTTTAGAGCAGTTTTCCACTGGCCAGCATCAAGACATCTTCAGAAGGCAGGAGAACTGCACCCAGAGCAGCAATTATGCTGGAATTAAGCAGAGGCTCTCCCACTGAATGACCTCATGGGACTACATTTGTGATGTGAGAGGGGGTCTTCAGATTGGCTTGTCCCATCCTGCTAAATTTATCCCTTCTCACCATCCCTTGCCAATCTCTTCCACAGTCTAAGCCCTGAAGAGGGTTTGTTCTTTGAAGTCCATTAACTGTTTGGGAAAGATTAATTCCACTTTTCGCTTCATTTTCTAGGGGAAGCGTATGCACATTTGCCTCCCTTAATCATTACTGAATGTACTGGCCAACTTCATTCAAAACCCAACAGGAGGAAGGTCTTGTTGCCCCTCTGCCTACAGTGAGAGGCAGGCAGCTGGGGAGAAGCAAGAGAAACCCATTCAACATCCCCAAATCAGTGGGTGACTTTGACCAGGCTCCAGAAATCCAGCACACGCATGGGCTCCAGACAGACCACATGCTTCTGAGCTGTCGTATTTCAAATGCAAAACATCTCTGCTGCTTCTGGTTGGGAGCTCAGCCACCACTTCATAAATCAACACCTTTACTATCACCTTTGCTCTGCCAGAACATGGTATGATGTGAAACAATACAGTCCTGGAGGCGTCAGCTTCCTTAGGTTATCTTAGCGGAAGGCAAACATCAGAGAGCCACTTTATCTGTGGAGACAGTTGTATTCTCAAGCTCCTTGCCTCCAACTGAAATTCCCTTGCACACACCTCAAGAGGTTTAAACAGTCTCTATTTTAAGCTGAGATACAACAGCGTTTTCAAAAAGCTTAAGGTCTCTTGTATCTTAGCACCTCCACCTTAGAGAGGTTTGCAGATACGCTGAGCTTCAGGCATGCAGTCTTTCAATTGCCTTAGCATGAGCTGAGGCTGAAACGTGCACATAGAACTGCAGGGTCAGGGGCTAAGGTTAGATGAAGGGTAGAAAACAACTCCATCACAGTTCTGGAGTATTTGCATTTCTTGAGAACATGCTTGCAAAATCACTTAGCAAATGAATGTTCATTGTTCTGCACAACTCCCACCCTGGTCAAAGAGGGGGAAAAAGCCCTATGGAGAGGTTGCCAGCTTTCCCTTTGTCCCCGCAAATAAGATTCAGGTGATCTCATCCCGCATTGACCAGCAGGGACCGAGCAAGGAAACAAAAAGGAAATTACTTCATCTGAAGTGCCACTGACTGATGGTAAGTGATAACAAAAGGCACAGTTTGACAGTAGAAATCCATGTGAGGAGCCCAGGAATGCCAGAACAAGCCGGGCATGGCTGGGGCTGTCAAAGGCATGGAACTGCAGACTGTTAAAGCAATTGAAGGGCCTTCAGTTGGGTTTGGGAGATAATTAGCGGCCCCCCAGCAAACATTTACATGAGAAAGGCTGCGGAGCGCTGCTCTGGGTGCGTTTCCAGCCGCGGGCTGGCGGAGCAGGAGGGATTCACACGCTGCAGCTGCTGCGGAGCAGGAACGGATAAAACTTGACAAATTAACACAGCGTGCACCAAGCAAAGAGAGAGACCTTTGAACTTCAGCTTTGCAGCTGCAAGGATGCTGAACCTGGGCAACATTGAGGCTGCTCTGGCTTTTAGACTTGTCCCCACCATTGCATCTGGTCTGAGGGAGGTGAAATGCAGCAGCAGTGCTGGCTGAGAGGGATGGATTTGAGTGTTCTCCTTACTCGGAGCCAGAAGCAGAATGAGCCTCAAAAACCTGAACACATCTCTTGGGATTCAGGAATTATGGAGATGATTGCAGAAACACCTCAACTCCAGTGCTTCTTCAGTTGTTTCAGGCATGTTTCCACAGAGCAAAGTAATTATGCTGCATAGAAACAAACGGGAAGGATTATGGTCAGCCAGCACATATGCAAGGACAAGGGATCACTTCGGGGAAAGTTCAGGCATTCACTGCTGAACTTGGTTTGACCTATTGACTGCATGGCCTGGGGACTCCCAGAGCAGCTGAGGCTGGAGAAGAGAATCCCTGTGGCTCTTTTCTCTCTTTGAGCCTTCCTACAAGTTCTCCACAACCTTTTAAAGTCCTCCTTGGTGAAAGTGGCTTCTTCTATCTTCTGCCTTGACCAGCAGCCCCACATCAGCTGTTCTTGAGGTTGGAAGGAAACGTCTTCCTCCCTCATTTTCCCAGGGCTTTCTGTGTCTGTAACATATTAGTTCATCCATTGCTCAAGCCATAACGTTGGCTCTTGTTGTGTAACAAGCAGGAACTGGGGTGGCAGATCTGCTGCTTTCTTCTCTCCAGATGTAGACTTTTATAAATGACCCTGTTAAAGCTGTGCCTCACAATGCCACAATCCAAAATCTTTGTGGGACGGATTGATGAGCACGTATCAAAGCCACTTGGCAGGGATAAGGCTTAGCTCTTGGTGTTCAGATGAACAGTATCATGGATTCTTCAGCAGAAGGAGCATTACCTGGCCTACCTCCATACCTGGCCACCAGCCCTTCCTCAAGCCACATCTCTGTGGTTGAGTGTATGGCATCATCTCAGCATCCTGGCAAATGGAAATTATCCTCCTCCATGAGCTAAATCCTCTTTTTCAGACCTTCTTTATTTGGAAATACTCATTGAGTTTCTTAAAACACAAACAAACATGAAATGCTTGAAATGCCATTAAAATAGAGTCAAACCCCTCACTAGAGAGATGCAAAGGTAAAAAAAACCTACATGGGCTGTGTAAAAAAATAACAGCAACATTACTGCTAATCTCACAAAGAAATGGTTGGTTTGGGTTTCTTTTGAAGTAAAATAGATGAATCTTTCCTTACTTGCCCTTCACTGCTCCAATGAAAGCTTTGTCAAACTGTGAGCACTCCCTTTCCTGGTCCTCTGCCTTTCCATCTCCAGACAGTAAAAGCCCAAGAGCAGCAGTAAGCACATAACCCTTTCCCAGTGATTCCTGCCTGGGAAGGTGAGACAAGGAGGGACTGCACAATGGTTCATGAGCAGATGGAGGAGAGAGACTGACCACAGAGCCGGGAGGGATCTGGGGATCATCTGATGCCTCACGTCCTGCTAACATCTCTCAGCACTTGCAACACACGGTGGTCACACTGCGGGGTCTGGACAGGTTCATGCAATGAGAACCCTGGTTAGAGTTAGTAAATACAGAGCAACTACCAAATCCAGAGCAGATGTTTTGGTGGGATTAATGCCTTAAAAGCAACATCACCCTTTCATGGTCATCCCCAGAAGTCTTGGCAGTGGTAGTGTGGACTGGGGCTGGCTGTTTCTGAGAGACCTTGCATCACCATAATCCCACACAGAATCTCTTCTTTCTGACTCTTAAGTCTCCTCTGCCAAAACTACATGAGGTATTCACTTCCTTTCAGCAGGGAAATTTGAAGACCTGTGTAAATTCCCTTGTGCCATGCCGGGAGAGGGGAGCGATGACTGACTGATGTAGGGTTCTCCTGTCAAGAGCACCAAAGAAGGTACCAAAAGTATCTGTCTTCTAGAAGAAGGTTAATTACAGAAGCTCAGCTCGCACACAGGGGTCCCACCAGTCAGCACAAGATAAGCAGCCTGGGGAGTATAAATTATTACAGATGATAAGACAGAATTTCCCCTTAAACAGCTTTGTACATATGTTCCTAAGATTGACTCCAGAGGCTCCTGTCATCGGGTGTCAAACCAGGAGCAACAGAAATTACAGAGAGTTAATTCCTTGTCTTTTTTCTTGCAAGCATATGACACTTTCTCCCTTGTTTAGATTAAATGAATCATTTCAGATCCTAACAAGATGTGGCTAGATGACAGGACCTGGGAACCAGAACTGATGCCCGATCACCCGTGCTCCATCACAGCAGGCAGTGAGAGCCTCACCACTCCATCATGACTGCAGAAATGGGGGCTGGTTTTAACTCTGGAAATGAGATAAATTCCAGGCGCCAATTGCTACGGTTTTTGTTGTGACTATCTCCTCTGCAAGCGGTGTATAAACAGGAAACCCCGTCCGCAAGGCAGGGAACTGACTCAATACAAGCGAATACTGATAGAAATCAGGTCATATTGCCATCCCTTGTTTATTCACTGCTTTGTTAGCATTGTTTATCCTTAGTGTCTTGGCCACATATTTGGATAAAATCCCACTTTACCACCCATCTGCTGCTCTTTTGTCCCCCCAGATCCATGCCACTGCAAATCCCTTGCTGCTAAGCATCACTTAGATGAGACCCAGATCTAAGGGGACACGCACTTTTGGGGTACAAACTGACTTACTCCACTCTTCCTTGGGGTTTTCTTTCTAATGCCTGGGAGCTTGCTATTAGTTTTTGCCTGCAAGCAGGAATTACTCTCCTAGCAAGGAGCCAAATGGATTTTAAGCAGCCAACCTGCTGAAATGCAGCCCACAACAGGACAATCCTGCAGCCTGACTGTGCATTGTAGAGCAAAGATCAGCCTTCCTTTGGCTGTCGGCTCTTTATCTCTGCTTGGTAGTTTATCCCAAGCCTGAATTCATCCTACTGGGATGAGAAGCTTACACATACATTCTGAATCTCTTCCACACCAACTTCTGCACCACTGCAAACATGATTCATTCACAGGGTTCTGTATTTTACAGCAGCTGTTCATCTGTTCCTAAACACTTTCCTTCCCACTCCAGATAGGCCGGAAACATCAAGGTACCATTCCCACCATCAGTTCTGGGACATCAGAAATAGATGACACGAAAAGACCTTTGAATTCCTGCATTCGTGTTTGAGGAATTCCTTTACCCAGCTGAGTCCACAGCAGGTCACAGGCTTCTGCTTGCGACTCCTTTCACATACCCTTGGCCTTAGAAGAAGGCAGCTATTGCAAAAGCCAAAACTTTTGGGCTGAGAGGAGGAAAAGATTTCAGGTATAAATTCTATTCTACCCATCTAACCAGTTACCAGCCAAGGAGCTCCTCCTCCACCCCACATTTCTGCTGCATCACATTAGCTCTTGGTCTTTGCAACCTCACGGTTTTAAGCACTCCCTCTGTCAAGGGAGTTTTTATTAACAACACAGCACGAGGAGTTTAAGGTTTCCTGTGGGTTTGCTGAATTTCTCCCTGCACATCAGCCCATGACTCAAACAGGGAAGCCTGGGGAAGCTTCCATCTCTGTCTCCCCGTATATAATACTGGGAGATTAACTGGCCATGGTATGGTACTAAGGGTACCTTGCAGGGCTTCATGGTGGGCTTTTAGAACATGAAGAACTAACAAAGCTTAGAAGATGAGTGTGAGACCTCTGACCTTCAGCATTCAAAAATATAGAGGTCATCTCAGGCTTAACAACATGGGAAATGATCTACCAGCTCCTGTCAGCCCATGGGCACTCTGTAGCTCAGGACTCAGTGTCCCACAGCAATAGGAGAGACTGCTTTGGGTGGTCCATGAGCCACACTTCTCTCTGCTGCCCTTCCCTTCAGATGCCTCCAGCAGCCCCAGCTCCTGTCTGCATCCATCAAAACAGCAATATTCCCCCATCTGTTTGTCCCCTGCTCTCATGATCTTGCAGATCTCCATCATTCCCTGCAGCCTGAGCAGCACCAGCATTTCCTTCCATGGTTTTGGCTGCTCTTCTGGTACCTGCTCTACCTCCACTGCCCTCATCAAGATAATAATAGCCCCAGAACAAAACCTTATTGCAGCTCTGAGGTGATGCTGTTTGGGGCAAGGTCTTTCCAGTTCCTATGGACAACCACACACAGTTAAATATGAGCAACCAGATGGTACTGCTGCAGATCTCCTCATCCTCCTATTCCTTTGGCACGGGGAAAACTCCGGCTTGAGTTGCAACTGTAAAAGGGTCTGCCAATGGTATAGGTTTTGTGCTTCTTGACAGCCACACTGACAAAAAAAGCTCTGAAGGTGCCTGGATATTTCCAGTTATATCCCAGCCAAATGAGTGTGAACTGGGAAGCCAGGCTCAATGGGGCTGTGTTCAGCCTCCAACCTGAGTATCCTGAGAGGCTATGAAGGGCTGTACCACCATGTGGGGCAGGGTTTCATCCTGTCCTCAATTTGCCTGTGGGATTGGAAAGGAATTTTTTCCTATTTCTCTGCCAGGGAGGGAGAAGAAAACCCAAAGCAAAACAAGGCTTTGTTGTTGTTTATACTGGATGGGATTAAAGTTTTCAGTATTCGTTATATTTAGATGCCTTTCAGACCCAGATTCAGGGAAACATTCTGTGTGATTCCTGCTCTGTTTACCCTTCGCTCCATTCCCTTCGCTTTTATTGTTCTTCCAGTTTAATCCTCTTCCAATTTAGGTTACATTTCCCGAGGACTGTGGCATAACCTTAGATTTCCCAGGGAAACCAGCACCTCTCAGCAGCAGCAACTGCTTTTGTGGCTCCAATCAGACCACCTCAGTTCTGCCTAAAGCAAAGTGCATCCTTGCAGGAGCAGTTTTCTTGCCAGCGGTGAGCCAGGCAGAGACAGGACAAATCACTTTCCTGAATCACAGTCCAAAGGACTTCCTTCCAGATGGCTTCCTTGCCTCACAAGGAAAGCAGCAGCAAGGCATACAAGCAGGGGAAGAGGTATCACACAGCCTCTGGGCTTGTAAGAGGAGGTGTTTTCATCCTGGTGTTAATGCACAGCACTCTCTCAGCAGTGCAGCAGTTCATACAACTCTACTGATATAGTCCATGCCCCCTCCTCTACCCAATTCTCCCTCATACACACTTTATAAAGTTCTGAGTTAAAACTGTGCAGCTCTAAAGAAGCAGATTTGGGGATAGGCTATGGATAAGCTGATGGATAAACCATCTTAAACTTCCTTCTCCTGCAAGGTGAGTGGTAACCAATATTCACTGTCCTTCTGGGT